GAAGACGAAGAGGTGATTCCTGAGCCGACAGAAGTCTTGGCACAGGAAGCCAAGGGGGAAACCGTGGACCAAGCCAACATTGAAATCCAAGTGAATGAGCAAACCGAGACACCTGCTGTGGACTCGACGGATGCCCCGGTCGAATCGAGTCCAGCTGAAGAAGTTGCAAGCACTCAGCCTGCAGCAGAAACAACTGAGAATGTGACAGAGCACAAGGAAGACGCGGTGAGTTTATGTTGTTTCCTTCATTCTATCTCACGGAACACTTTGTACCTTACGCTTTTCCAACTATTGTGTAGAACGTGCAACAGGCAGTGGACGAGGAGCTTGAAGCGAAGGCAATGTCAAAGTGCTTATGTGGCAGATGCACTATCATGTAGACTTATCGGAGTCGTAGAAGTGCTTGGGGCGAGTGAAATTTGCATTCTTCTTATGTCGTCCAGTTTATCGTTCGCATCGAGTTGGTTGCAGGACATTTATTTTCGTCGCTCCATCTTAAACACTTAAACGAGCCTTGCATACGTGTTATTCACGGCAACAGACTGCAGGTAGATTTTGTTGGCAAATACGAGTTCGAGCAAGAAAGATCATTTCACTGGTGCGAGTTGTAGTAATATTACATTATAGACGCCTGACTTCCCAAGTCTCAGCAATACCCCCCGAATGTCGGAGCGAGATGCTTCGTTTTTAAACTCGTTAAGAGAGATTCGTCGCCTAGTGATTGCAACGTAGGATTGCACCTCCGGTAATTTCGATGCACGGGTTTTCGTTTTGCTTGAACGAGAGCATGAGGTTCTTGAACTCTTCAAAATCCGAACTACTTAATAGGACATCGGTAATATCCGGTGGAATCTCGTCTGCCGTAAGAACAACAAGCCAAAAATGACGTGAAACCGGTGTCTTCAAGAGAGTGTCTACAACGGATGACTCCACTACCTTCATGCTCTTGAATCTGGTTACAGAACTCTTCCATGGAGAAGTACTAATCAAACACGAACACGCAGATATTAGCAAGACGCGTTAGGTCAGTATGAGTCACCTGTCGATTTAGCCACCTCGAGCTTCTCGTGCAGTCTCCGCTCGATGAACGTCTCTACAACGTTACAGTTATTCAGATAGGCAACGTCAGACGGTCTAACGAGCCACATATCTAACGAATTGTTATGCGCTCAACGTACCGATGAGGTTGGTGTACTGCTGGAAGATGTCCATGTAGATTAATTTGTTCTCAGACACGTTGTCGAAGACCTCTACACCCCGACAAATACACAGAAGTGAGCTTCGAGCAAACTATACATTGTGCTGGTGGCCAGATAAAACTACAGGGGTATCCTACCGCAATTGTTGCGGCAGAACTTGCGCTGCATGCCGACAAATTCGGGGTCCATCAGAATATCCTGCAGCACTCCGATCATCTCGTCGAACTTGGACTCCTGTATATTCGTATGAGCGGATATCGACCACGACAATAGAAGCTTACAGCAGTACTCAGTTGCCGCAAACGTACCTCCGCGTTCTCTTCGCCCACGTCGTTGTCAAAGATTTCCTCCTCCTCGTCCAACCCTTCGAAATCCGTCATTTCGGGTTGATTTGTGCTCTCCTCTGCACCACAACACGGTGAGCGTTGTCCGACTATCTCTGCTACATGAATGAAAATTATAGACGACAGCACGCACCCTCCCTAGACATGGCTGGCTACTTATTGCGTGGCTGACAGGCGGCTTCGGGCTGCCGATAAAGCGCGGGCAGCAAAGTGACGATGGATCTTGAAGAGACGCTAGTGAACTCTACCTTACAAGAGAAGGCTGAAAGCTTTCTTCCACCACAACAGGCGGCAACGGCCAGCATGAAACCAACGGATGATCACCGCAATTTTCCAGTGACAATTCACTAAACAGGAGTGACGGTCCCAAAGTTGCCGTTCAGGAGTCAGTTTTTTCGTCTTTCGATCTTCTGCTTTCACCTATCTGGGTATCTTATCAATCAAGTACTGCTGGATTAGCAGTGCCAGCAGTGCTGGTTGTGATAATATAGTCAAACGATGCATTACGATGGTATCACCCTTGCTTGTCAAGCTGAACTTGATGGTGCTTTCAACTCTGAAACAACGGTTTTCCTGTTTTGACTAATAGTGTATGTTTCACGAAAATCGGAGTGGTACGGGAAAAGTAATCTTAGAATA